AAAAAAAAAAAACCACAAGTGTTAATGAAAATGTGGAGAAATTGAAACCCTTGGGCACTGTTGGTCAGAATGTAAAATGGCACAGACACTAAGGAAAATAATATGGTGATACTTAAAAAAATTAAAATTAAAAACCAGAAATACCACATGAGCCAGCAATTCTACTACTGGGTATATATCCAAAAGAACTGAAAGCAAAACTCAAACAGACATTTGTACACCAATGTTCATAGCAGTATTATTCACAATACCTAAAAAATGCGAACAAGCCTATGTCCATTGATGGACGAATGCAATTCATTGGATTGTTAGAAGCTGCAGAGTCTGACATGACAGTTATTTTTATCTTATATGACAGGAGAGGAAATAGAAACTTAGAGAAGGTATGAAGATTGCTCAAAAACACAAAGCACTATCACACTAAACCCTGGTCTAGCTTGTGCAAAGAACCCTTCCTTGTGTTCCACACACTGAAAGTCTGATTGAAATACTATTGACCTCTTCTGTGGGGGTTAAGAGGCAGATTTATAAGCAACATGTAGTTATTTCGTGTGTCTTAACTCCTAAGATGCTCACATGCATGCAGCAGTGGTTGTTTTCCTTTTAGGCTACAAAGATGTAAAGTGTACAAAAAGTAAAGATTTATGTTGTGGGTTCCAAATGACTTGACATGTTGTATATACCACTAATGCCCTGTATGCACACCAGGTACGCATTGTCTAAGCAGCAGCTATCTTAGTTGATAGGAATGACAATTTATGTTCTTCCTTAAGTGGAAAAGAAAAGATCCCAGGAGGTGTACTCACCAAAAACTGCCAATTTGATTTGTCTGGTCCTTTGTAAGAAGTAGAACAAGAGTATATAGGAAAATTCAGGCAGCTTGCTTTGGGTTTCTCTGTTCAGTTTTTAGGGTACCCTTTGCGGCAAATCCTAAGGGGTAAAAAAAAAAAATAATAGAAATGTTTTCTATTTCAATACAATTTTCATATGTGTATTAGAAATTAGGGGGCCATTTTTTTCAGAAAATGAAATACCATTACTCTATTTATCATGTTCTCTACAAACCAAGAAATGCAAACCTTCATCCTATTCTAGAAGAAACAGGGAACAGTAATAAGAAAATGGCCAATTTCTTCTACTTGTTGTATTTTTCCCTCCGCCTTTTTTAGAGCATGCATGACTTCAATATGGACATAATGTTTAGTAAGGAATACAGATGTAGCCTATATTTTATGATTATGAACCCACAAAAAGAAGAGGTAGTGTCTTTTATGGAGATGATAATAGTTAGCTCACGGGCCTCCCCAGCCCATCCGGGGGCTTATGCTACACATCACTAACAGTTTGTCACACTTATCCTACAGATTCCAGAGAGGGTCCCCGAAACCACTGAAACAAGTATTCCAGGTATCCCCTACCAATTAGAGTTGGTATGAAAGAGATTTACTATTCTGCCCTAAAATATATAGTTTAGACTCTTTTGAGGATGTTCTTTGCATGGAGAGATCTATGCAAAATATGATTTGGGGTTCCAGGATAATCTTAAAAGTCATGATATAGAAAATATTCAAAAGAAAAGGATTTAAAGTTCAAGACAAAGATATTTCAGATGAGGCATTAAAATATATCCTAAGCACAAAATTTTATTTTTATTTTACATGTGGAAAGATAATCTGCCTGATTCTCTCAACTATTGAGAGTCCTCGTCTACCATCCAAATAACTTACAAAAGTCCAGATGTAGGGTTCACACAGCACAGCGGCTGCAGAGCTGGACCGGGAGCTAGAAGGCTGGTTGTAATTCTAGCTCTGCTGTGCCCTGTTCTGTGATTTTAGGCAAATCTTTTCACCATTCTGAGCCAAAGTTTGTTCCCCTTCAAAAAAATACAGGAGTTTGATTATCAGTAGTTTTCAAACTTTTTTTTCATTGCTTTTTAGTGGTAACACTCTTTCTTCTACCAAAAATCTAACTAGATGAAGAAAGAAACAAAACTGATAAAACAGGAGCTGGCTGAGTGTAGCTAGGGGATGAAGTGGGGAGGCACCTCTAGCTCCATCATTCACTGTGGCCCAGTGGGGACACTATAGGACCTTTAGGATTCCACAGAGCACAACTGGAACCTTCTGGATTAGATGGGCTCTAAAGTCAGTTAAAGCTCAAAATTTTTCTGCCATAACTATCTTCATATTGGAATGACTGGAGTTCAGGGGCATTTGTAACCTTATGAGAATACAAACAATACTTAACCATGACATAGTTTTAAGCCTTATTAGTAATATCAGTGATCTCCTAAAACGAAAAAAAGCCACACCTCCTATAAATTACAGAGCAATACTCCCATGTTTATTGCAGCACTGTTCACAATAGCCAAGAGTTGGAATCAACTTAAATGTCCATCAACAGATGAATGGATAAAGAAATTGTGGTACATATACACAAGGAATATTATATAGCCACAAAAAAAATGAAATTCTGCCATTTGCAACATGGATGGAACTGGAGAACATCATGTTAAGTATTAATAAAATAAGCCAAGCTCAGAAAGACAAATCTTGCATGTTCTCACACTTTTGTGGGAGGTAAATATCAAAAACAATTGATCTCATGGAGACAGAGAGTAGAATGATGGTTACCACAGGCTGAGAAGAGTAGCAGGGAGTGGGGGGATAAAGTGGGGATGGTTAATGGGTGCCAAAATATATTAGTAGTTAGTTAGATAGAATGAACAATATTTTATAGCACAACAAAGTGACTATAATCAATGACAAGTTAAGGCATACTTTAAAAGAGTGGAATTGGAATGTTCCTAACACAAAGAAATGATAAATGCCTGAAGTGATGGATGCCCCAATTACCCTGATTTGATTCATGCCTGCATGCCTGTATCGAAACAGCACATGTACCTTATAAAGATATGCAACTATTATGTACCCACGATAATGAAAAAGAAAAAAGAAGGCCGGGCGCGGTGGCTCACGCCTGTAATCCTAGCACTTTGGGAGGCCGAGGCGGGCGGATTGCTTGAGCTCAGGGGTTCGAGACCCCGTCTCTACCAAAAATAGAAAGAAATTAATTGGACAGCTAAAAATATATAGAAAAAATTAGCCAGGCATGGTGGCGCATGCCTGT